GCATTATGCGTATGTCAATGTTCACATCTCTGCATTATGCGTATGTTAATGTTTACACCTCTGCATTATGCGTATGTATATGTTTGCATTGTGAACGAGCATTAAAGCAGAGTGTAAGCAGAGTGTAAGCAGGGCGTGCCACCGGCAGGGCGTTCTACTGCCGGCGGCCGGAGGCGGCGCGCGCCGAAGCCGCGGGCTACGCGCAGAGCGAGGGCGTCGAGGGCAGCTGGCGCGTGCAGCGCGAGGGCCGCGACTGGGTGGCGGCGCTGCAGCTGTGCGCGCGCGACAACGCCACGCTCGCCGTCGCCAACTCCTCGCGGGAGGCGCGCGCGCTCGCCGCCGTCTTCAAGGACGCGCGCGCCACCTTCAAGGACGTCAGCGACGCCGACCACGTGCACGTGGGCGCCGTCGCCTGGGCCGGCGCGGGCCCCGCGCGTGCCGTCTCAGGTACGGCACTTCGCCGCTACTCAAAACACTGCTCCAGCCGAGATCGCTAAGGCAGTAGTGTCGGGGCGATCTCGGATGAAAGGATCGCTGGTTCGAAGATTTAAAAACGAACTAGACCGAGAAAGTTCGTGCTATTCGGTTGCACCACTAATTTCAAGTTGGACAAAAAATTTAAATTTAAATGAATGAAAATGAGATTTTATGGTTATTCGAAATACGCACTTGATTCATTAATATACTTGTATATCACCAACATTAATTTTGTAAATTTCGGACTATGAAAAACCCTTCAATACGGTTGTATACTCTTTTGCTTATTACTACCCGAAAATTAATCATTAAAGTGCATTAATTCAATTAGGAAACAAACGTAAAGGGCAACAAATATACCAAGAAACTCGTGATACTAAATCAGGAAAATAAGACTTCCTCGTAGTATTCACATATCATACGTACGAGGATGTATACTTTTGAAATTAAGATCGAAAAATTAATTAATCATTAAATACATCTGATATATTAATTACATTATTTTCGAAACTTAGCACTTCTAGAAGCCTAACAATTGCTTCAGACACCGCCTCCCCCAAAAAAACTAATCATGAGTTCCTTTTACAGGCCAACCTCTTGGTTCCAGTATCGATTGGTATTATTATGCTTCCCGACCTGACGGGGGCAAGGACAACTGTGTCAAGATGGATACAAGTGGAAGGTACCATTACAGTTCCTGTGCTACTAAACTAGCGTTCATTTGTAGAAAATATTCTTAAGAAACGTTAAGCAATGGTGAAAAGTATGCATAATTTTTCTCGGGCAGATAAAATGGTCAAATATGTAAGATAGTTATCGAAAATAAACATATTCTTCGAAATTCATTTTGAATGAATTATTTATTTATTCCGGCGAACAGATTAGTAGTCCCAAAATTATAGTGTATGGTGTATCGGAGGAGGGAACGGACTGAAAACTATGTGTATTCGCTTCGCGAATAATAACAATTCTTAGCTTATTTCCATCTGTATTCAGATTACAACTTTTTTATCGGTTAGTTGTAGTACACCATTTTTGTTATTCTTGTTTTCACGCATTCTTAAACGAAAATAAAATATCATAACACACTTTGAAATTATACATAATATTCTGCACGTTTTGTAACAAAAATCTTTAGCCGTGGTCGCTAAGACTTAAGAATACTTGACTCCGGATATCCAATGACTGGCGGAAGCCTATGAACACGCTAAGGCTCAAGGACCGTAGTTGCCTCGACTCAAAGGGTCGCGGGTTCGAATCCCGCCTCGGGCATGGATGTTTGTGTGTGCATTCGTGTTGTGTTCTTCTTACAGTTCCTCTGCAGTTAAAACCATCACACTGACCGCTATAAGGTCGCTTTTTAACAGCTCGGTCATAAAAAAATCTTTGGGATTCGTGAGTATGCAGTTTACGTTCAAAAAATAAATGTGCAGTGGCAGGGTGAAATATGATTATGCCGAAGATACTAGTATTTTCGCAAACGAGCACTCAGCACCAATGTTCTTACCAGAACGTCGGAAGTTAATGTTCCCGTAAACAGTGTGAAAGATCGTTGTAGTCGCGGGCAGCAGGCGTGGCCAGTTGACCTGTATCGAGGGCTACTATCGATCTCTCCGCGTTTCCTTCGCTGCCCGCGCCTCACTCTTTCTCTCTCGCTCTTGCTCCCTCTTTCTTTCTCTCTGCGTCACTTAGGTCCAGCCTCGGCCAAATGTGCAGATGCCTCCGTCTTTTGATTACACTGGAAAGAAACACTGCCCAATTTGCATTAATGTTCACGTTACAAAATGGGAACGATAATTTTAATTTATTTACTGTCAGAGTAAAAATGTTCAGAGTTAAAAAAAAGAACATCGAATGTTTTCCAACCGTCCATTTTCATTTCCTTGCTCACTACAATATGTTCCTGTGTCTAAAATCGGCCTGCAGAAAGTGCATAGAGTTCATTGCGTTCAACATCAAGTTGTTGAGGTTACGCATTTGCATACCTTTCGTATACCAGTGAAACTAATAATTTTAATTTTAATGTTTTTGAGTTATTCACATCAGTAAGTCACATTTTTTCTATTTGTTTGAAATGCTTTAGTCCTGACGTTTGTATCCAGCCCACTAAATTATCGATTATTTCCTATATTAACCAACACAGAAAATTGTCAACATATGCACGAAAAATCCACCTTCAGGCATAATTCTCTTTCTTAAAAGCAATGCTACATTCAGAAGTCTGAGTAAAAGAAAAAAACGGTTTATCTTTTCAGCAAAATATACGAGTGAACAAATTGAACAGAATCATCATGTTCACCTTGGTGTATCTTAAAACGCGAAAAAAGAATACAACAGGATGCCACGCAAGAATTAAAATACATTGAAATAAGGACTACAGCCGAGTATAGTCACCTAGGAATAGCGTTGCTGGATGATAAAATTTATATCACAGTACCGACCTTTAAAAAGCCCGGTACTTTCACAAAAAATACTGGTACCAATGACAATTGATTTTCATTCTGAAACGCATTATAACTATTATGATTTTAATGCCCACATGAAATTCGTTAAATTTCACTTAATATCGATTATGTTCGTGTTGATAAACTAAATGGAAGACTAAGATGTTTTCTGCCATAGCATGTGCTAGAAAAGACCATCCTATGTCACTCTTACTCTTTTTACGGCAGTTTTCACCAATATCACAGTTATTTGTAATATTGATGTTAGATTTGCATTATCGGATAAAATATTTAAACGAATCTTTTAATCGTACATCATCAATTATAATGTAGACCAAATACTTGTAATTTAAACGTAATGTATGGTATGTTAAGGTAAATTACTATGTAGAAATACCAGAATTCTGGGGTTTCTGGGAACACTTGCGGAATATAATGGGCCTGGCGCCAATATTGTACATATGATGTAACTGGAAACGCATTAGCGGATTCGGTGAAAATCTAGGAACCAACTTCGTGGTAAAATGACAAGATTGGCTTCGAGTCCGAGGGCTGGGCCTGGGCGCAGGGGGCTGGGGCTGGAGCTGGGGTTGGGGTTGGGGTAGGGGTTGGGGTGGGGCGGAGCCTGGCGAGGAGGGCGCCGGGGGCTTGTCAAGTTACCGTCGGACCGTCTTCTGCACTCTGGGGGCGCAAGGGGCCGAACGGAAGGACGCCGGTCGACGTGCCTGCGGCGCCTCGCGGTGGTCCATTCTAGACACACACACATCACACACAGCAGCCAGCGCACGCCCCCGGAGGAAGGTCTGTCGAGTGCTTCGCGTTGACCCGCCTGCTAATCGCGGCAGAGCGGGGCGCCTTAAAACCGCCCTCGGATAACAGGCTGCCACACTAGAATAAATGCCAATATAATTAGGCTATTCCTTTGATTTCAGATAGTAATGGAAATACACTTCACAACGTTTTTCCCAATTTTTTTCTTCAGGAATTTTTTTCTTTAACAAAACTGTGCAACATGTGTCCCTTCTCAATAGTAGTTTATACAATTTTCACGATAATTTTACGAATCTAATATTCACAGCTTTGATTCTTCAATCCGTCTGCAACAAATGCATGACTCGTTTTCGAATCATCAAATATTGTTGCTTTTAATTTCTAGAAAAGCAAATCAATTTACGTCATCCAAATATCTAGAAACAAAAACAATTGAGACCTAAAAATATTCTTATTTCTTGACCGTGTTGAATTCAAAAACTAGTTTATCGCTAACCTATTATATATTGTTTTTATTTATATCACAAAATTTAATAATTTAATTAATATCTTATTGTATATACCGAAAACCGGAGTAACTTTGCCAACTAGGAAGACTTGTTTCAAATATTAGGTCTTCTTCGTTATTCATTAAATAACTTCTACGAGACGCTGCCGAAACTCTATGCTCTTCTCTATCGATTAAACAAGTCGAGGAGAGTTCAGCCACTTTCCAGTTACTTAACACGCACATACACCAAGATTGAACAATCACTTATACTTTCTCTTAAACGCCACCTCGCAGAAGAGATTTTAAAGGAAATACAGGATTCGAATATTACAGATACCGAAAATGGGCTGTTTATTTCTTCCAAAGTCTGCCCGTCTTTCCGTCCGTCTGCCCGCTTTTCCATCTGTATGTCTTTTCGTTTGTATGCCTCTGTTTGTATTTTCTTTTTGTTGTTTCTATATCTTTCCGCCTGTCTGTCCATCCAAGGCCAAATGTTTCAGATCCCCGAGACAATGAGTTTCGAAATAGGAAAACTGAGAATAAATAAAATTTAACTACGAAACATTGAGGGTAACATGACAAAAATCCATAAACGTGAAATGGCATGTCAGGACACCCAATCTCTCCTCCAAATTTCCCAAGCACTATTACAATAAAATATGACATGCAATTATTAATTCTTGAGAGGCATTAAATACTCAAAAACCCATGACCATTTATTCCTTGAGTAATCTAAAGTCACTTTCAGGCATATTGTTTTAATTTATTATCAATTAAAATAAAATTACTGTTAATTATTTCTGCACTCCGACTAAAAACTGTTCTGGAAATTGTTAAAACCGACAAAAAAATGGACGGAATTATTGAAATCTTTTGCATGGTGAGGAATGGTGAAGCGAAACCTTGGAAAGTAGGTTGCACGTCAGTTCGAACTCCACGAGGAAGCTTCGCGACTACGCAGCGGCGACCAGCGGCTGCTGAGGTAATTTTAGAAAACGCATTTCGAGAACGCAGGCGCGCAAACATGGCTGTGTTATTCCGCCATTTGGGACGCGCGGCGATGTTGACATTAATTGAATGAAGGGAGGCGAGTAATTTAATTACACCGGCAATAATTTCACTGATGTCAATAGAGAAATTCAATAAATGTCACAAATTCATTTTGGTAGATTACAATATAAAACGACTAATAGAGTAGGGGATAACAAAGACGGTA